AGGTACTCCTTTTTAACTGAATGTTGTAGAACAACAATCAGATTAAATAAATCATGAAATATAATAATGCAGTATAAAACCAATGTCGAAATACAAAGATCTCACTGAGCTGTTATGAAACTCTTTATATGCTTCCTTGTCTCTCAGTATTTGCAGTTCTGTCACGCGAAAATGGAACTAAGAAAACACAGTCGTTCACGCCGAGCGAGTTGGAATAGAACTAACTTCCTGCTCGCTCTTGTTTGTGATAAGACAGGTAAAGTCAAACGATGTCATTTGTTGTCTGTTTAACTAAACAGTAAAGTTTCGTTGTTCCTATAAAGTTCGCAGCCTAAATATGACCACTGAATATCTAGTCTACCATTTTCTACCTGCTAAGGATGCCATTCTAAACACGTAGGTGTGTCAAAGTTATGAAAATCGTGATTCTGGTAATAATTATAAAAATAAATCTACATGTGTTAACAATATCAGTATTTCTATGCAAAAAAAAAAAAAAAATATTACGAAATAGCATTAATTGAATCCCATGATGAGGAAATACGGACCAGTTCTTGCCTAACTAAACAAAAACACATCTCCGAGTTCACTAGTATCAAGAGATTATAGTTTGCATAGTTCGAGTAGCTATAAGTTTGTTTGTTTGTTTTAAATTTCACGCAAAGCTACACGAGTGCTATCTGTGCTAACCGTCCCTAATTTAGCAGTGTAAGACTAGAGGGAAGGCAGCTAGTCATCACCACCCACCGCCAACTCTTGGACTACTCTTTTACCAACGAATAGTGGGATTATCCGTTACATTTTAACGCCCCCAAGGCTGAAAGGGCAAGCATGTTTGGTGGGACGGGGATTCGAACCCGGGACCCGCAGATTGCGAGTCGAGCTCCCTAACCACCTAGAAGTAGCTATAAGAACTTCAACAACAAACTCAAATGGGTCAGCTAAACAGCTAGGAATGGGCGCCATATTATTAGATTACGAACGGAATTCTGTAATGTGAACATTCACTGATGTACAATTCTTGTGCCCCCCCGTGAACCCGTGACCCTCAGATTGCGAGTCGAATGCCCTTACCATCTGGCCATGCCGGGCCCATATATATATATATATGTTGTTGTTGTTTTTTACTTTAGTTTAAGTTTTTGTTACAAATACAGCTCGATGGTATTGATGATTTTCGGAAACACAAGTTCTTGAATTTGATAAATTGTTTTCTTCAAGTACTTTTTATATTTACTGTAATTGAAATGAACGTAATTCAAAAATGTTTTGATATAAGCATGAAACAATTTTTTCGCTAATATTTGAGCACATCCATTTATTTGTGGCTTTGTTTGTTTATTCATTTCAGCGCAAAGCTACACAATAAACTATCTGCGCTATGTTGCCACCGGGAATCGAACCCCGAATTTTTTGCGTTATAACTCCGTAAACTTATCACTGTCACGCTATAGATCTCTGCGATAGGCATAAAGTGCTCTTGGAACAATAAATTAAAATAGTTAAGCTTTTTTTTGAAAATGAGTAGTAAAGTCTTGTATACCCTGAATGAAAACGTACATCTGAAAATTTGTACACTAGCAAAAAAAAGTTGTAATGAAAATGTTGTGAGGTTCTTCATAATTTTCTCTCAATTAAAACTCGTATTTACCTTATCATCTTAGACCCAGTAGGGTGCTAGTGTCGTTTGTTAATTTTGTTGTCACACTTAACCTTAGGATTAAAGATGGGGTCCACATATCTTTTTAAACACATTTTTCTACACTATTCTGCTCCAAACTGCTTTTAGGTTCATGACTTTATATATTACAAAATCATTGATAACACTGATGAATTTTCCTATGTGTTTTACATAGAAAATGACTGATTTCACACAAAATATTTTGTCTTTTCTTTTACGAAAAATGTTTCAATTGACAAAAACATAACATTAATCAATACAGGACCCAACCAGTAGTGAACGGTATAAAACAGGTTGAGTTCAATCAACTTATAATAACTTTCTAGACATTTATTGAATATCGGTTACTTGGGCCCGGCATGGCCAGGTGGTTAGGGAGCTCGACTCGCAATCTGCGGGTCGCGGGTTCGAATCCCCGTCCCACCAGCCGGGGAGCGTTGGTAAAAGAGTCGCCCAAGAGTTGGTGGTGGGTGGTAATGACTAGCTGCCTTCCCTCTAGTCTTAAACTGCTAAATTAGAGGCGGCTAGCGCAGATAGTCCTCGTGTAGCTTTGCGCGAAATTCAAAAACAAACAAACAATCGGTTACTTTTTTGTGTTCTCCTGATCTTCTTCAAGTATATTCGTCGTTGTCTACCTAATGAAATTCCAAAAGGATTCCTGGCTCTGTTTGTTGTGTTGCTTAGAAACACAAACAGTGATGTTGAAATATGTATGTAACCTGGATGTTATGATTCATTGTTAATTGTCCCGTTTACTTCACAAATAAACGTCAAACTAAATGTATTTCATAAATTCATTACTTATTGTCAAATATATGAGATGTTAACTTCAATTTGTTTTCCTTTTTATTCTCGGAATAATTTACACAACTTTTGTTTTTATAATGCATTTATTTTAGTAATTGTATTTATTATTTGCGGCAAAGCTACAAATTATTAGTAAGAGCTTCTGAATGCAAGAAAATATTTTTTCAAAATTTTTTGGCACGTGTGTAATGTTTAATCTTAAAAACTAAATTTTTTCAAAAAAACAACGATTATTTTATACACAATTCTATACAAATGAGATTGTTTCCATATTACTAAAATAACAACTTACTGTACAAGTTTTTACCACTTTTTAACCTTGTACAATAAGTTATTATTTTAGTAATTTGGAAACAATCTCATTTTTATAGAATTGTGTATAAAATAATCGTTGTTTTTTTGAAAAAATTTAGTTTTTAAGATTAAA